ATGACCGTGCTCCTGCCCTGCAATAATCACAGCGCCTTCATTGGTGACGGGTGCATTGAAGCGACGTTCGTGTTCCCCTGCCGGGTCCTTGTCTTGATACATTGGTCCTGGTTTTTGTGCATTGATGACAATAGTGTAGGCAGGTGCAGAAACATTCTCCAACGCATACTTGAAGCTGGTTACATAGGTGTTGTATTGGTGCAGCATCTGTTTCAGAGACAAAGTTATATCGTGCCTGGTATTATATCGTGCCTTTTATATTGGTCGTGAAGTTGGCACAGCGCGGCTGTGCCTGTTGATCCATGTCGGAAATGAAGTATAGTTATAGGAATTGTGATTGCTCATCATGTAGGGGTAGCAATGATCCAATTCGATAGTAGACCTGTCCCTGAACCTTGAATGTGGACCACATTGGTGTCACGCTAGTTGCTCCAAATGTAGTCATCTGGAAGGAGGAGTTGTATGACCGGATGTTGTGCAGGAAGTGCCTCGACTCTGGTGTGTTGCCATTGAGTAGTTGCCTGAGGAGATCTGGTGGGTCATCAATTGGTGGAAGATGGACTTTGCCTCCAGAACAGCATGACCCTTCGGTTCTTCTGGCCATTTCTTTGCAAAGCACAAAGCACAGATGTTGGTCATTCCTCCAATAGTGGCATAAAAAGAATAATCAATGTAGGGGTTGTAATTGAAAGCAGCCCGATTCAGGGTTTGAAAAGGCGCTGCCCTATTATGCGCATTCCTGACACGTATGTGCTGTGAACGGGCCTGGTGTGCTTCGGGAGTCTCTTGTTGTCGGACGGCTGCTGCTCTGTCTCGCATTTCTTGTAGACGAGCCTGATGGACCTCGGTAGTCTCATGTTGTCGGACGGCCGCTGCGTTGTCCCGCAATTGGCAGAGACGGGCTTGGTTGACGGCTGGGTTACGGGAGTCTCCTGTCTGCGAGCTTTAGCTTTTGCTGTAGCTTGGCGATTTGCGTCCAATGTTGGGACGCTTAGGGGGCCTCGTGTATAGTTGTATTACGTACCACCTGTAGAGACCGAATAAGGATAGCGTATTAAAACCATTTGGCTGCTGGATATTATCGGAACACCTCTGTGTGTCCACTTGCTATTGTCTAGTGAATGCTTGGCGTGCAACGATGAACATTCAACTTAAGAAATTTTTCTACTGAATCAGAAAAAGCATAGCGTTCGAATGGTACAATCCATTCTCAGATCGTACCATGAATAAAAATAATATATTTTCATAGTATACAGACAGATTTTAATCAAACAATTTTTAATCCTAAAATAATGTTTATACTCACTTGTTACGCGTCTTTATGCGTTGATGTTTTCTGCATTCGCGCTATAATTTCATTGCTATAATAGCAATTGAAATGATTCAGTCATATATCGTCCTATGATCAGCAGTCCTACACCCTCAACTGGGTCATACCTATGTGTCCCGGTACCTATGTGTCCCGGTACCCAGGTACCTATGTGTCCCGGTACCTATGTTTCCCGGTACCTATGTACCTATGTGTCCCAGTACCTATGTGTCCCGGTACCTATGTGTCCCAGTACCCAGGTACCTATGTGTCCCAGTACCCAGGTACCTATGTGTCCCGGTACCTATGTGTCCCAGTACCTATGTGTCCCAGTACCCAGGTACCTGTGTGTCTTGCCCCAGTACACGAAACAAAGGATTTTCAGCGTTAGGCCTAGGCTGCTTCACGTCAGCCAAACAAAAATTACAATGTTTTTTTTAGTTAATAGGTACCGGAAAGGGGACATAGACCCTATCAGCGGGACACATAGGTACCTGGGTACTGGGACACATAGGTACCGGGACACATAGGTACCGGGACACATAGGTACCTGGGTACTGGGACACATAGGTACCGGGACACATAGGTACCGGGACACATAGGGACCTGGGTACTGGGACACATAGGTACCGGGACACATAGGTACCGGGACACATAGGTATGGACCCCTTTCAACTGGTCCTGGTTCTGCTCTGTTTTAGTATTGGTTTCGGTTTCACAATACCAGCAGCTGATGAGGTGACCAAAATAAATACTCATCGACTTTTCACTGTACAGTGAGTGCTCACATTGTCTGAAGTTTCAACAATTCGTTTGGGATTGCACACACACATCTAATTATTGTATTTGACTTTTATATCTAATCTATATTTCAGTTCGTGTGTGGGTGTTTCTGAGGTTAGGAGGCAAATTGCAGTTTTAAATTACTGAATTTTTTTTATCATCCTTTTGGCATATTTATGGAATTTTTCCAATATTTGTAACACCGTGGCCCTGAAACCACAAAGATTATTACACTTTTTTACTTTTTTACTTTTTTGTATACTTTTATAAGGGCCTATACCTCAACTCCGTTGCAATTTTGTAACGGAGTTGATGTAACGGAGTTGATAATTTTGTCATGTTTGACCTTGTTGGTTCCACATGGAGCAAGGGCAAGATGCAAATAATATGTTTTATTCAAGAGGTCAATATGCCTGTCTTCCTCAATTTATGATGTTTGGTTTCTATGGTTACTTGCGTCTATCATACAATTTGCGTAACAGAGTTACAGAGGTGATGAATGCATTTAAGTACGCATTTATTTTGGGCAAATTTTCCCCTTGAAATGTGATGCTGGTTGGTCTGATTGGTCTGATTGGTCTGATTTGGTCTGATTTGGTCTGATTGGATCTGATTAGTCATTGGTTAACACCATTGTCTATGAATAGATGGCAACACAATACAGTCGTAACGGAGTTGATAAAAATTCAGGACAATAGGTCTGAGGTTCACCCCTCTTACACTTATGGTCACAGGCGCATGAAACTTTGCTGAATTACAGTTGAAACAATAGCAACCCCACCCAAACTAGATTTCCCATCCCTGAATGATGACAACAGCTTCAAATCATTGGTGGAAAATTGGCTACCATGGTTTAGGACAGGCCATTTCGACGAGACGATACTGAAACATTGAACTTAATTTTTTTTAAAAGAAATTTCATGTATATAAAATCCATATTTAGTGGCTCAATTTTTTACCATGATCCAGAGAGCGATTCATCAAACAATAAAAATTGATTCAAAACCATGCCAAGTCATTGAAGAATTTTTGAACCAAGGGGTGTCAGAGATAGCAATTACGTATGTAACGTATGTCCCCTCATGCCGGCAACCGCACTACATGTGGCTCAGCTGGGGCTGAATGAATACGTTTCCTAGCTGGCTGGAGTGGAAAATTTTTAAATCTAAAATAAGTTATTCACCGTTGTTACGACGCATCTTAATTTTTCAGAGAGCGATTTTGTTTGCGTCTAGGAACGCAACATTCTTGGGTAACGGAAGTCGCGCCTCTGAAAATTGGCATCCAGATCCGTAGGCGGTTTGGCCTGGCATAGGGGACATACATGTACATACATACATACGAACTAAATATAGATTATCATCAGGAGTAGATAAATAGACGAATTTTGCTCTATATATCTACCTCCTGATTATATAAATATATAAGAATATATATATATATAGAATATATAAATATATATAATATATAGAAAGCGAGAGAGAGAGATGAGAGAGAGAGAGAGAGAGAGAGAGAGATGGAAAGGATGGATAGGAGAGGATGGAAGCGATGAAGGATGGATACTGGAATGGAAAGTGGATGGATGGATGGAATGATGGATGGATGGATGGATGGATGGATGGATGGATGGATGGATGATGGATGGATGGATGGATGGATGATGGATTGGATGGATGGATGGATGGATGGATGGACTGGATGGGCTGGGATTGATGGATGGAATGGATGGATGGGGCTAAGGATGAATGACATCGATGGATGGATAGAGTAATACGATAGATAGATAGATAGAGTAGAGCTAGATAGATGATAGATAGATACGATAGATAGATAGATAGATAAATAGATAGGATGGATAAGATAGAAGTAGATTGTTATCAGAAGTAGAATAGATAGAAAATTGCTCTATATCTACTCTGATATATATTTATATATACTATATAATATATATCTATATATAGAAAAAGAGAGACGAGAGAGATGGAGGGGACTGGATCGGAAGGATGGAAAGAATGGATGGATTGGAAGACTTGGATGATGGATGGTGGATGGATGGATGATTGGATGGATGGATGGATGGATGGATGGATGGATGGAATTAGAATGGATAGATGATGGATGGATGATGGATGGAGGCAAGAGATGATGGATGGAATGGATAGATGGATAGATAGATAAATAGATAGATAGATAAATAAATAGATAAATAGTAGATAGATAAATAAATAGATCAATATAGATAAATAGATAGATAGGCTAGATAGATAGATAGATAGATTAGAATAGATAGATAGAGTAGATAGATAAATATATATATATATATATAGAGTAGATGTATGGATAGATGGATGGCATAGACTAGAGTGAACAAGATAGATAGGATATATATATATAAGATAGATAGATAGATAAGATAGATAGATAGATAAATAGATAGATAAATAGTAGATAAGATAGATAGATAGATAGATAGATAGATAGATATATAGATAGAAAGATAGATCGATAGATAGATGCCAGGGCCAGATCCAGATAGGGGTAGGTTCATGTGGGCATAAAAACTAATTCCCAACGGGACTCTTATTGCTGTGATCGTGTGCTTAATTCCATTTGAGAAAAAAGCGTTAAATGCTATCAAGGGTCTGTTAATAATTGTCGTGCTCCGAGTCAACGGTACTTGTATACAGTACAGATATGAGGAACCCGTTATATGGTCTCAATGATTCTGAATTGTCAGCACGGGCGTGTCTCATAACGTATTTGTTTGGGGTGAATCAGACCCACGCAGAGGATTGAGTAGATGTCAGTGAATCGAGCCCACTTGAGAAACATGTCCATCTTAATCTAACTTCTATGTCATCATAGAGACCTATCATCTTCTATGTCTGTATATTCATAATCAGTCCACCTTCTCTATGACCAAGGTTCTGATGATCAAGTCTCCATCACTCTCTGCTTGTTCAATGAGGAGCTCCACGACGATGTCTCCATATTTCGTAGGCTTGCCACTGGCTGGCCAATATTTTTCGCATTTCTTCTACAAAATTACGATAAACGATATTCCATGTAGGAAACATTATTGGTGCCGCGATTCTTGGTCACATATAATCTCTATTACAGCAGCGAATCAGCTTCACCTGTTCCGCAGCTACCCGGTTGTAGCTCAGTGGAACTTATGACATCGTGCAAACTTAAAATTGTGTTTAAGCGGACATATATTTTATCATCGATTTACCTTGTTTTTCTCGACAGTTTTGGTTAGCATAACGATTACTTCCACACGCTGTTCCCAGATCATTCTCCAGAAATCATTTACAGTCCCTTCTAGTGGTCCTTGAGCAGCAATATATTCGGCAGAACTGTTCTCCCCCTAAAACATTGAGATAAGAGGGCTAAGAAAAAGGCTACATTATTTATTGATGTCTCAGTACATAAAACTAACTGAACTGTGTAAGATGCCTTAATAAGGTAATAATGTAAATTGTTGTATTTCAATAAGTGAAAAATAAAATATGGCTGCCCCAACACACCGTCGTTACACCGGCGTACATGGGTGTGTGAGATGTCTACGATAGGTAATTACTGAGTGAGAGGCATCTCTATTTACCCAGCATGGGATTTTTAGACTTTGGTCAAGCACTCGCGGTTAGATAATATTGCGGAGACAAATCCATCATGTATTTCTTGTCTTTCGTATGTTATGTATAACTTTGGGGGAAGGACATGCCTAAAAACGCACCCGTTATTCGCATTGTACAGCGATTGCCGGGTGACGGTGCGCGGGATTGATGGTCAGCCCATGCAGATGAACGAGAATATTCTATCATCTATTCATGTATACCTGATTTCATACCACGCAGACTGGGGCCTGGGTTTATTCGTATGGAAAATATATTCCTAAGCGGACTAGCAGGCGAGCACGGCACCGAAACTAGTAATAGGCCTTTGGATTTGATGCGCATTGCATGCCTACACGCAATGGAGAAACAGACATTTTGAGTTCTCCAGCAGCAAGAAACTTATGCGTGAATGCGTGCACCTTGGTCCAGTTAAGTTGGTCCTCTTAGTGAGAGTGTAAGTAACGAATTTACATTACGGCTGCCAATCCCCAGTGTATATCACATTCGGTTTCAATTTCGCTGCTTTACTCAAGAAATCTACCTCTCTGTTGATATAGTTTGGTATGTATGCACGATCACATTCTTCCACGATAATTCGATGATCCTTCAATGATAACGACTAGATTCGAGTTAGTGTGATGTGATATCTCGCAAGAAGTACTCACTGGAATGTAATTTGCATTGATGTAGTCAGTCGTGGGTTCACCTCCGATCCTCTGTAGTTTCACTCGTGTGTCATCAACTGTAATCAAAACCTTATCAGAACTATCATACAGACAAACATACATTTTATTACGTTGAGGAAATTATCAATACTACTGGGAGAATTAAACAGAGAAAACACACACCAGGCACATGTTTTTCCGGGTAGGCATGGCGTATAGTATAGACTGATCACTCACCAGCTGCAGTCAGCAAATAACGCGAAAATATGCGACTTCCGTATATATATACAGTACAAAAAAAATAATGCGGAGTAAACGATGCGCGTACAGGGCAGGATGTTGATGTAGCGATTCTTCGGTTGATTCTCGGGTTGTTCTCCCTCGTTGGTTGACAGATGAGGGGATATTGCTGCTAATTCCTGCGCATAATCATATCGCAATATGACACACTACGTCGAAATGACATGTTTTTCACAGAGAGTATTATCGGACGGATCTTGAATTATTTGATATTAATGAACCGCGACTAATATCAATTAGAGATTAAACAGAAATTATAATTACGTCACATCTATTTTAACATTTTCTGGACATTTGCGTCTGTTTCCATTAATTGACACCTGTTAACACTAATTAATTACAATTAAACATAATATAATTACAAATTGATGACGAATTACGATGACGTCATTCCTGGCATTGAATCCAAGCATCACTATACTTTCATGGTGTTCAGCAGATATTTATTGTTGATTTATATCTTCCCAGTACAGAGCAATGTACTGGCAAGGTCGAACGTTACCCAGTGCAACATTTTAATTAATTCGATTAATTAGCAAAATACATCCTTTTTACCTCGTACGTGTATGCTAGCTTGTATCCTGAATCTCTTTCCAGTTTACAGACGTAACTATTGAAGGCGTCTTTTGAAACTGGTCTGTAGGAAAGACATCAAAAATCAACTGTTGTCAAAAATTAACATCGAATAGTGAACGCGTGTGACTGCGTTCACTAGTGATTGTTCCATCCCATTTAACACGTTATATTCTCATAAAGAGTCGCCCATATAAACGCATTGCGACCGATCATGCACGAACGTCTTCCTTAGCAAATATGCAAGTGTGGTTACCGTTTGCGTTTGACTTTGGTGGGGTCGATCGTCCTTCTATGAATCATAGTTGACACCCGATTTCGAAATCCCTTACTTCCTTTCTCTCTCATACGCGGTTGTCGGTTACTAACCGGTTGACAAGAAAAGTATCATATTATCAGAAAATTTATCAAGGCGAACAATATCTTATCAGATGTTAATTGCGGATATCGATTACCAACAAGCACCACTACAAACCCGTGCAGAACCTATTTAACCAAACACATTTACTTACATAGAACTATTAGCAAGTCGGTATCTCGGTGTGCTATATCGGCGGACAACATCATACAAATTCTCGATTATATTTCCACGGCAAAATTAACGAATTTCGATGCAAACCACGTTCTTCTAGAAAAAGACATTATAGCGGATGTACGCGTATCGTAGCAAATGTTTTACCTATATTTATGCACGTATATCCAGGACACAAATGCTGTGATAACCATGGCCAGGATGAAAATAATGGCGACCATGACGTATATAGCTCTGTTGTCGTTCGCTATCAAAAAGAAATTTTATATATTATAAAGTAGAATTCGTTGTTGTTCAAGTTATCACTTGTTGTGCAATGGCGTAGCAACTGATTTTGTTATAATATTAAACCAATCTCTTTATACAAACTATCTATGTTTTACATAACAAAGTATTTTACCACTGTTTATGTTACTATCCGTCTCGACATCAACTCTACAACGATAAACGAACAGCCGTCCCTACTTTTATAGCGCAACTATTTCATCTTATCCTATTTATATAAAATGCGCCATTTTAATACATTTTTGATACATCTTACCACGTACCTGTTACGACCGTCGTAGTTCCGCTATCAGCATACCCGGTCTGAGTAAATGCTCGTATACTTACACTGCAAAAACATCACGCGCACTAGTAAAGAAACTGGATAGGATTTTTACACGTTCTAAACCAATAACTAAAACCTACTATTTAGTAAAATTTATATAGTATAACAAATATTTTACACAAAACGATATACATACAATAACAACAACAATGACAACGACTACAACAAAACTAAATAGGTGGATGGATGGAATTGAATGGTAGTGATAAGATGATGGATAGGATGGATGGATGGGATGGGATAGGATGGATGGATGGATAATGGATGGAGTTGGATGAATAGGATGGATAAGGATGGATGGATGGTTGGGTGGGATGGATGGATGAATGGATGGATGGATGAACTGATGGAATGGAATGGATGGATGGAATGGATGAGAGATGGATGGAATGGACTGGATAGGATGGATGGATGAGATGGATGGATGGATGGATGGATGGATGCTGGCTGGATGGATGGATGGATGGATGGATGAATGCAATGATGGATGGTAGTGGATTGGATGGGATGGAATGGAAATAGGATTGGATGGAAGTGGATGGATGGATGGAATGGATGATGGAATGGATGGATTGGAATGGATGGATGGATGGATGAGCTGAAATGATGGTATGATGAATGGAATGATGGATTGGATAAATGGATGGAATAGATGAAGGAATGATGATGGTGGTATGATGAATGGAAATGATGGATGGATGGATGGATGGATTGGATGGATGGATGGGATGGTCGTATGGATGGATGGCTGAAAGGATTGATGGGATGAAGAATGGATATGGTGGGAATGGATGGAGGATGGTATGATGATGGAATGATGGTGGACTGGATGGAATGGATGGGTGATTGGATGGACTGGATGATGATTGGATGAGAATGGATGGATGGAATGGAATGGATGGATGTGATCGATGGATGGAATGGATGGATATAGATGAATGCATGCTCATGCATAGAACCTGGTTGAATGGGTGGATCGAATAGAGCAGAATGAAGACGGCAAGAATTAGCGTGGGTGAATGGATAGAGGGATGGATAAACAGATAGGTATGTATGCCAACTACGAATTATACAGCGTAATTAGCATACTAGTAAACCACGCCACTGTCCAGAAGACCGTTGCAGTACTGATCTATGTCGTCAACGCTACAGCTCTCCCTCATCCGAAGCACATGTATAATAACATCGAATGATGAACAATTGAATGCTGCGCCGCCGCCTGCTCTGCATCTCCTTGCTGTAGCGCGCTGCAGATTAATATGTTATGTCTTACGAACTAAGTCTGCTTCGACTCTAGCTGATTTACGATTATGAACATAGACTATTGAATCAAAGCCTAACTTGGAACTTTACTCTGCGCTGCGTTATTTGTATCATAGCGCATTTTTTGTTCTACATTTAAATGCTTTGGCTAGGAGATTTATGAGCAATTAAAACGCTGCAGAATCGAGTGTGCCATATATAATTATGTAGTAGGATAGCTTTCGCTTTGCAAATAAACGGCAGACGGTATCTCTGTGATGCACCTTCGTAAGCGATGCATTTAAGGGGGAAAACTTACTTCCGCCGGCTTGGTTAATCAATGTATGAGCGGAGGTGCGAAAGCATAACTAGAGAATGAACCTGTAGATGGATTCCACTCGGGCGGGGTAGCCTGATAGTTCAGCACATTCTGTTCCGTCATGTGTTCGGCCCAGGTCGGACCATGCCGCTCGGCCGAACAGTTCATTCTAGTACACAAGCTAACAGCCTCTTGGAGCTCGGAAACTGTAAACAGAACAGCAATTGCATCATCTAATAATTTATATGATGTTGAATGATGCACACAACGCATTCCTTAGTATAAACACGCCACGCACGCAGCAGCACGCGCACGAAACGGCACGCAAAGCACGCACAGCACGGCAGACGCACGCAAACGCACATACATCGAACACAGGCACACGGGCGACAGGACGTACAAACACGGAGTCAATATAACACACAACCACACAACACAAATCGTCGGACACCACTGGTAGACAACCGTGCAACACACACAACACACACACACACACACACACACACCCGAACACACCAAGCACTAATAACACATACACACACAACACACTTATATATATATATATATATATATACCCGCGGAAGCATGCACGCACATATACACTCGCATTAGTACTTTGACTTACCACTTAATTTGTTTTGTAATTTAATACGTCAATAGTTTGTTTATTAAATCGATCCCATATCACTAATAACTCATACGCGCGCAGATCAAAATCGAGAAAACCTTACAATATGCAAAAACCTACATCGGCTGACGAGGATTGCATAACTGGTGATCTTCCCGTTTGTTTCCAGGAATATGTTCTTATTTATTATAATCATTGCCTCACTTCTGCTGTTAATCCGTTTGTCTGGATGCACCCAAATGTGCGTTGACGGGGTGTTGGAGAGAACAGGGGCTGCAAACAGGAGATGCCTTATGATTATAATGGTGATCTGGATTATGTACACTATATTGCGTTTTAATCGTCGTATGCCATGAACATATACGTTGATCATAAGTATACTTGGTATATACACGAACGAACGCATAATCAGTACACCCTACCTCCAACATGAGTTGTAGCATGAGTTGGTAACGAGGTATTCCCTCTTCCAGCATTTGTCTCAGCCAGTACGGAGACATATATAGTCGTGTTGCCGGCCAGATTACCTGCATGGGCGAAAAACGACTTAATTTCATTTACAACAACGATGTATAAAACTTAAATCGGTCGGTCACGGTCGGTCGGTTGGTCAGCGGTCGGTTGGTCAGTGGATCGGTAGGTCGATCCATAACTAGTAGTGATACGTTATTACAGTGCATGCTGGATAATGTCGGCAAAAAGTTGGATCGTCTTACCAATTATGATATATTTCATCGCTGTCCTTGTCACTTTGAAGGAAGTCCCATTTAAGAAAGCAGCCGCCTTTGAGGGACCGTGTAAAACTATGTACTCTGAGATTTGTCCGTTTGTTATATTTGGCTTCTCCCATTCACACCGGATTGCTGTCCAGTTTACTGGTGAACACATAACGTTTGCAGGCAGGCCAGGCTCTAAAATAATAATTTAAATAAAATAAATGAAATGAAGACATTTACCATATTCCATTTGATAACGGTTCTTTAGGCGGAATTACAAGTTATTAGAATAAATTTGTAGAATAAATAAATTACATAATATATATTTTAAAATAAGATGACATGACAAATAGTATTCCATTTGTTCCTTTATATTTATATCATATATAAAGGTAGTCTAAGGTATAGGTACCGTTAAGTAAGTCATGGCTGACAGCTGTTAATTTGCAGAAGCTAAAAGACTGTGCGCAAGGTGATGCGGTGGTGTAAGGTGATCTAGAGGAAAGGATGAGGTTGAGGGTTCTGTGAACCATGGTTGTTTGTGTTATGACTAGTCTTGCAGACATTACCATGTCAGTGATACGTACTTCCCTCGGCTATTAAAAGGCACTGCTTTGTTGTGAAATCTCCTTTTGCGGAAATAGTCAAAGCTCGGACTTCGGTGCACACATTTATACCGCCTTGCAGTCTATCTATAGAATGAGAAGCAGATCAGATCACGGGATGAGGGATTCTATGATCAGTAGTTACTTAGGATTGATCCCGCAAATTTGAATAACCGTTTAAACGCCATGCTAACACACATGTGTAGCTATGCTGTACAAGCAAACAATAATAAATAAATGGCAAAATCAAAATTCAAATAATATTTATTATAATAATAATAATATAGGTCAATATGCATGAACGGCTGCCTGACTTGGAAACACTGACCTGAAGCTGTTGACTGATATTGTGTGTCTTCCACTTTCCTGTTAATATTAACTACTGAATCTCCGTTCTGGATGTTGAGCTCGTATGTAGACACCTCGCCTGTCCATGAGGTGTTCTTGGGCTTGGACCACGAACATCGCAGAACACTTGTTGCATAGACGTATGCAACGGTGCAGTTCAGGTTTTCCGGAAGCAGCGGCTCTGTTTGAAACGGCATTGTGGTAGTGGTGTTGTAACATCTTTGTAATTGCTAACCCACGAATACGTGCTTAAACAAGCACCCGCGCTTTGCGCACGCACTTAACATAAATATCAGGCAACATAATTAACAGGCGGACACGGACACGCACGTACACTCTCCGTCCGTCCGCCCCACCATCCATTTCTCAATCCATCCGTCCTTCCCTCGTTCTATCTATCAATCCACCCATCTATCTAATCTATCCATGCATCATCCATCCACCATGCATGCCATGCATCCATCCATCCATCCATCGCATGCCATCCCATCCATCCATGCCATCTATTTTATCCATTCATGGACCATCCAATCCATGCATCCATCCATTCCATCCATATCCATGCATCCTCCACCGCCATCCACTCCATCCATCCATCCATCCATCCATCGATTTACCATTCATCCATCCCATCCATTCCATCCATCCATCCATCCATCCATCCCAGCACTCATCCATCCATCGCACTCCATCCATCCATCCATCCATGCCATCCAATCCATCATCCTATCGCATCATCCATCCATCCATCGCATCCATCCATCCATCGCATCCAATCCATCATCCATCCATCCATCCATCATCCATCCATCCATCCATCCATCCATCCATCCATCCATCCATCCTATACATATAGAGTAACTGAACTTGATGAAGGTATCTACTAACTGTCAGCAATAGTCATGACCACAGCAGAGACGGCAACTAAGAACGGCAGCATTCGTTTTTGGGCCGTAACCGCCACCGTAACGTTGACAGCACCGCGGATATCCGTCCCCCATTTCCACGTAGTCAATTCGGTCTCGATGGACGCGAATCACCTAAATGACCACAAAAATAGCTGTTGTATTACGCTGACCGCGTTGTCTGGCTCTTGAAATCTGCTTATGTAGCAGAAAGGCTTAATACATTTAACATGAATGTACGATTTTTGTTGATAGTATAATAAAAATGGTGTTTTTCTCGCAATACATTGTATAACCGTCGATAGAAACCATCCATGCACATTATATATATCTATCGACTGATGGTTAGCAAAATGTTTCATCTCGTGTTTTTAAGCGTGGGGGCGTATATCGCGTTTCGCCCGCTTTTAGTGCGGCCGCTATATAACGTGCCTTTAACTTTTGCCACGAAGTGATGGCGCTTGTCAATTTGGTAGCTGACGCTGGCAGAGTGTTAGCCGGTCTGTCCCGCATGTAGGCGGCTAACCGAGTGGCGACCATGAGAACTCAATTGTAAATTCGTCGGAGTTGGCGAAACTGCAACAGTAGCAAACGCTTTTTAACTCTGTCGTCGTGCTAATATGAGGCTTAATATATAATCATGGTTAACTGTAATAAAGCAGCAGCAGCATAGCTTAGAACTTAGTGCTCCTATGATAATTAAAATCCGGTTTATTTATATAAGGTGAGCAAGAACCAGTGTGAAAATGGATGCGGAAGGAAGTTGAAAACTTACTCTTTTTCATTTAGGGTGATACTTCGCTGATCAAGCCACTTGACTAGACACTTCATGCACTAGTCGGACAACAACGGTGCTACACGGACGGCAGACCATTCTTGATAGTGTATGTGCCTGCAAGATGCTAAACGAAAGAAAAAAAAAGGAAATAAAATTATTATTCGCACGCAATTACACAAGAGGTTTCACTGTTTTAAATCACCCGCATGAAGAAGGATCGGAAATGAGAGCTTGAAGAAGGCCTGGGAAGGTAGGAAGCGGGTTAGAAATACTTTTTCATTACGACAGGGACTTGTAATTTTTGTGCAATGTAAATAGAGTACCGACAGTGTGACGTCACGTTGGCAAGACAACGTTAGCGGCTGGTTCCTCACAGAAAAAAAAAAAAAAAAAGAAAAAAAAAAAAAGAACAAGCCGACTGGCTCCATAACATTAAGCTGCGTGAAAATTTTGTGCGTAGTAAAACACGAAGTGTTGGTGCGCGTGCAGACCAGCGTAAAGGCATCGGTCGGCAAGTCGAATCTTGACAAATATTTAATGAATTTTTAAAAAACATTGTTGCTGTTTCACTTCCATCCTTTGGAAAGTCTATAAAACTGCCATATGACTCTCAGAATGATGGTTACAGATCGGGTAGCAGAAAGCACAGAACGCAGTTACTGTTACAGAGCATATTGATGGTGTAGAACGCAGTAGGTT